GCTCTAGATGAATCCAGACCAGAGATCTAATCCCAGCTCTGTCAATTACAAGCTTGTGAGCTTTTAGAAATGTGCAATTTATTCATTTTGAAGTGAGTCTGCTAAACCCCATCTTGTAGGAATTTTGGGGTATAAGTACTGTCCATAAAAAATATGGCATACTAAGTAGGAAATGCTGAGTCTGTCATAAATGACAGTTACTATAGTATGTGTTTTTATATAAATTATTAATTTTTAATTTTCCTAAGGATATATTAAGAAACAAAATTACCACATCTTGAAAATATTTGGGACAATTTAAGCCTATGCAAGTTCTTTGAATGTAGCCGCCTTGAAATTTTCAAGAGGGTTTTTAGTGAACTCATTCTGGCTTATATTGATCACTGCATTTCATGTGATGATTTTAAACCCAGAAAATACCACCCTGCAATCAGAAAGGCTTTTTGATGCAGTAGATAACATAGAATATGAAGTGCACTGGAACAAAACAAATTGCAGTCTTAATAACCTAAATAAATCCAGGTATCCTTTATTTATACTAAAAGAAATAGGAAAAGGAATTAGGCAAACCAAGAATTAAACAAACTTTTACATTTCTGTTTTTCCTTTTCTTTCTCGTCATATTATGATGTCAACTTTTTTACTATGGAGTTCTTAAAATTCATATCAAAATCCATTTTCTATTACCATGTTATCTAGTTCTGAATTACAATGAAAACATGTTGTGTGATTTTGTTTTATTAATACCCAAACCGTAACTTTCAAATTGGTTAAGCAGCCATGAATGTGAGAGCTATGTTTTTGATAACTGTATAATCTGAAGCAAAATAAACCTTCACTTAACAGAAACAATCTTGAAAATTGACAAAGAAATAAAACATAAATCTACAAGTTACTCATGTATAACAAGACAAGAGAAAGAGATATATCTTGTTCCCTCCAGCCTCTACTATACTGCAGTACTTAGAAGGCTCATTACTCTCTTCTAACATAAAGCGAAAATTCTACTTCAGACCTCCCTAGAAATGGGAGGATCTGTAGGATGTGGCCCCATAAGGTGCCCTGGCCAAGGGAATAGTGCCAGTTCTGCCTTAAGCTCTCAGTCTCAATGCTCTCTCTACCTCATCCATCAAAGCGTCTTCATACAGATGTGGGTGTAAACCAGGGCTGGTTTTATTGCTCTTGGCCAAAACACGCAGGACTCTCATCTTGGTGGTTTCAGCATGGGCTCGTGGACCCCACAGGAACTCATAGCGTGGAGGATCACTGTTGCACACCTGCCGGTAAACCACGTACTTATCTTGCACCAAATCTTCAGTAATGAGCTTCTGGGGATCCCCATAGATTGGGTGTGTCATCCCAGCATAGATCCCCAAACAACTCAGGAACTCCCAGACCTCCTCTTCAGTGGCACGGTTGCCTTTCATGAAGATCACACTCAGGACCGACATCAGGAGACCCGACTTCTGCAGCCCCTTAGCATCATTCAGAATTCCTTCACTGGAGAGACCCAGCTTGCTCACAAGGGTGTAGGACTCGCCGCTGGAATCCATTTCTTTCAATTCAACCGCAAAGGCCACCGCCAAACGTTCGGAGGTTCTGTTGAGGATCTCAGGGAAGTAGTGCTTGTAACGTTTGCCAACACGCCTCAGCATGTCTGCCTTCAAAATGGACTCTTTCTTCTCAAACTTCTCCTGCAGCAATTGCACCAATGCGCACGCCTTCCTCTTTAGAGGATCTTGGGTTAAGCGCTTAAAAATGATGGCTTTCTGTGAGGCTCTTACACTTTCCTCATCTTGACCCTTGGCAGCCACATCATATTTTGAGCCTGAAACACCTGCATCAGGAAAGCCAGTGGGTGAAGCTCCCTGAGACTCCTGAGAAATGGAGGCATCAGGGGAGGTGCTCGGACTCTTCTCATCTTGACCCTTGGCAGCCACATCAGATTTTGAGCATGAAATACCTGCATCAGGAGAGCCAGTGGGTGAAGCTCCCTGAGACTCCTGGGGAATGGAGGCTTCAAGGGAGGTGCTTGCACTTTTCTCATCTTGGCCCTTGGCAGCCACATCAGATTTTGAGCATGAAATACCTGCATCAGGAGAGCCAGTGGGTGAAACTCCCTGAGACTCCTGAGGAATGGAGGCTTTGGGGGAGGTGCTTGCACTTTTCTCATCTTGGCCCTTAGCAGCCACATCAGATTTTAAGCATGAAACAACTGCATCAGGAGACCCAGTGGGTGAAGCTCCCTGAGACTCCTGAGGAACGGAGGCATCAGAAGACCTACGACGAGTCCCCAGACAATCGTGAGAAGAGGATGAGGAAGAGTGGGACTCTTCTTGCTTCTCTGCAGTGGCCTGGGGACCTGTGAGACCCTGTGGCTGACCATGGGTCTCCTGGCGTTTCTCACGGGCACGGAGCTTACTCTTCTGACCCCGAGGCATTATGGCTGAGTGTGGGTAAGAAGACTGGGAAGGCTGGTACCTGGATGGGAGAGAGTGATGTCACGTCAATACCTTCGGCTGAGAGTGACCATCTTGGCTTTAACTAGCGCCCCTTCTGCAGGTTTCTGCAAAACAGCTGCTCTAGGAACCCACAGGACTCCTGTTCTCCTGGTCAGTTTGTCTCCTTCAAACTCAGGAGGAAGTTAGAGTATTAGGCTCTAGAATGATAGCCCATTTTGGGGCTTATTGAGGTGACAGCACCGGCTGGCAGTGGATGACCTGTTCAGGGGTCGGATCCTCTCTGTTTACATTCAGGATCATCATTAAAATTGTTGACAAGACCCAGAGGCCCATTTCCCTGTGCCGCTCTGAAATTGACACTAGGAATTTTTACAATACTAACCAGCAGGAAATAAGGAAGCGCTTCTGCCCAACACTTCACTCCGGGGACACGCAGACCGCCTAGGGCTGACAACAGCGGAGGCATTTTAGTGCTCTTCCTGTTATAGTGAGAACGGTCCTCACGGTAATTAGACTCCTCACCCTGACTCTTCCCACAACCTGGAAATCACCCTCACTGACCTGCTGCCATCTCCTTACAACCAGGGGCCTACCTCTCTGACTTTCACAGGGACAAAGTGAGAATGCACCTCAGTCTCTAGAGACCTGCCCAGACCCCCAGGCTAACGTCAAGGGCAGAGTTCGGTGCAACCCGTTATGGTACATGGAGTTCCCTCAATCCTAAGGAGGGTCCTCTTAACTATGTAGGGCCTGAGATTTCTCCCTCTACTGACCTACGTCCACCAACCTTGGACCGAGGCCTTCATGTTCTACAACATGATGGAAAAAATGAATGGACTTTGGGCCTAACAGCCATGCTTGGAGACTCCTCCGGGACCAGCTCGGGGCAGGTTGGAGCAGGGCTCTGTGGAGCCGCCATTTTTAGGGGGAAGGGGGTTGAAGTTGGGGAATGCCCCCCCAGTTCTAGGTCAGGATACCCACCAAGACAGCTGAGAAGATCTGGGACACCTCCTTCCGCTGACGTGACACAGCACTTTTCAGACCGAGGCGCCCTGCTCAGACCCCTTTCTAGGTGGAAGTCAGGAGGAACCACTTCCGGCCACGCCCACCTGGCCCTCCCAGCGTAACAGCAGCTGCGGAGCTCTGTCACTCCCCCTTGTGTTCTGTGGGTGCAGCAGATTCCAGGGAAGTCGCATAAAGTTCTTTCAGGGGCTTTTCGTGGAGCCTTGGACTTCTCTATCTGTTGAGCTGAATCAGTCAACCTGAGATAGAGGCTCTCATTCCCTCAGAGTTCAGAATAGGAAGTAAGGTGCAGCCTGAGCCCAGAAGCCATGCCGGGACCTTCCAAGACTGATGGTAGGGGTGGGGCTCTGTGGGACCCCCTTTTTGTAATGAACTTTGCCCTCATCCCTTACTCAGTGTCGTCGCTTCATTCTTGCCATGCCCCCTCTAGTGACTTGAGGACACCCTCTCAGACTAGACTTCAACTTCCTGAGACTCCTCATGTGAAATTCAGTTACACCTCACCTGGCCACTACTGCCTGGGGCCTCCTAAACCTGGCTGCAGCTATTAAGTTGTGATGCAAGATCAGGGAATGAAGGGAGATTTGGGGGGCACTCTTGTCTCTTCTGATGTGTGGAGCCCCTCAGTCCTCACTCAGGGTCCTCACATTGACTGCTGGCAGTGTCTCAGTTTTCTCCATTTTCTGATGTAAATTCATCCCCTTCCTCTGACTAGATCCTGTAAAATTCATAAGGAGAAAGTGAGAGGACTTCTTAGCCTGACAACTAGGTCTGGGACTTCTCTCTTGGCTGACATCAGTGTCTGTATTCAACACTTTCATGAGTGAATTTCTACCATTATCTTGTGTGACTCACTGCAATCTTTGCTATCCTAATTTAGTCCATTCTTTATATTATATTAAAATAATACGAATTTAAAGGCCAGTCCGCTTCCACTAAAGAAGTTTCAGGTGGTTATTAGCATAGTGTCTGGATTCATACTTCTTCAGCCTACCCAGAAGTTTTTGCTGTCCCAATATTACCCCATGGAACTGGCACATAGGGTCTGAGTTCCTGACTGAATTTCCTTTAGATAAGCAGAAGAAAAAAAAAAAAAAGATGCATTGTGCAATGGCACAGCGAAGGAAGCAAAGACCAAAGTTTTAAAGCTTTTTCTCTAGCCAATTCCGTTATCTGCCTCTATTGTAGGCTACAGACCTGTCTCTACTTCAGTGCATGCCCCTAGCTGCCCACACACCAGTTCTTGTTCAATATAAACTGACCGTCTCTCAGGGATCTCATTTTTGTTTGCTGTTGTTAATATTGCCTTTTTTTTTTTTTTTTAATTCTTCCTTTAACTTCTGTATGGTTGAGTTTGGTCATGGGAAAGAACCGCCCAGGTTTGGTTGTCATCTTCACAGCTATGGCTAAGGCAGTGAATCTGTAAACATTTTAAGGAGAATCAACATCTTTACAATATCTCCTCCACAGTAAATAAACATAGTATACTGCTTTATTGGAGACTTATTTTTCCTAAGTCTTTCAGTAAATTTTTATAGCTGTCTCCTTAATGAACAGGTACATTTCTATTTGGTTTTCTGTTAGATATATTTTGGATATTGTTGCTGTTGTGAAAGGCATATTTCACATTACATGTTATAATTAGTTATTGATTTTGTGTGACTATACTCCTGACTTACCTATAGTGATCTTTTGTACACACATTTTCTTAATTTCCTTATACATTTAAATATTTTTGCACCAATTACGTTGTTTTGTGTTTTTTTTTTAAATAGGAGATTCTATTATCACAATTATCTCCTTTTGTTATTGTTACCTCTAATTTACTTGGCATTATTATGGTTGTGGACTATAGATGTATTTTCATCCAATTGTCAGCAGTAGGGTTTATATTATACAGGTGTATATTCTTCTGGACTCTATTTGGGATGTTTGTAATGTTTCACATTCAGTATGGCAATTTATAGATTTTACAAGACGGAAATTCTCTCCTAATGTAAGTTTGCTAAAAGTTACTATCATGCACTGGTGTTGAGGGATTTTTAAGGCTCTTTCTTTACCTCTGCACACGATCACATGCTTTTTCACCATTTTTGGTAACAGTGATTTCCAATTGATAGTATTTTCTAATATGATATCATCTTTTCGTTTCTTGGATACAGGCTATTCATTAATTCACTGCTATATTGGATATGCCTATATTGGATATACTATGAATTTATTGAGAATATTTTGTCTCTATGTGAATGAACTTGTCTTAAATGTTATTTTATTGGAATATCTTCATCTGGTCTTTGTGTCAACGAAAGCAAGCCTGTGAAAATGATGGAGTAATTCTCCCAATCTTTTTGTGTTGTTTGGAAGAGTTTACATGAAGTGGTGACTAGTTTCTTCTTCACTATTTGATGTAATGGGTCTCTAAACCTGGCTGGTCCTAAAACAGTTTGATGGTACTTTGGGTCTGGACTATAGTTTCAGTTTCTACTGTGCATTCAAAGAGTTCTGTAATTTTATGGGTCATTTTAGTCATTTTCAGTTTGCTAAAAATTGTTCCATTTTACTTAGGTTTTCATATTTAAAAGCATTATATTCATAATAAAATCCTGTTATGGAAATTCTCAAATATATGCAATAGTACAGAGAATAGAATAATGAACTCAATTAGCTAAGATTTGTCATGAATAATCTTCAATTTTTATAAGTAGAATATTATTCATATTAAAGTTTATTGGCAAGTGCACCCCAGAGGTGATACGGTACAGTTTCATTAAGAGATAGATAATTTCTGTTATTTCCTTTGTGATGATGTTGGCAGCCATCACTTTTATCCTTTTATCTGTCACGGGTTACAAGATGGTAATTCTCTGATTCCAAAATTCTTTTGAGTTTATTACCCAAAATTTTTCAGATAGAACCTTCTCCTTGTCCATCATTTGTTATCCTGAGATACAGATAATACTTGCAGTGTTCCCTATTAGCATTACATCTTTTCTACACCCAAGTTTTGTATAATTTTACTTATCTAATATCATTTATTTCTGCTTTTTTCATTTGTAATTGATAATACTCATACACATTGTTATATAAATCTTTTCAAAGAGCTGGCTTTTACTAGTTGGTTCGACTATTTTCTCATTTATCACTTTTGAATTTATCTTCATTATTTCCTACCTTTTCTTTGTGTTTAATATGCTATTAATTCTCTAGCTTCTTGAATTGTTACAGTGTTTCAAACATTTTTATAGTAAATCTATTTAATGCAATAAATATCCCTGTAAGTACTGCTTGGGCTACTTTTCAACAATTATGCTAATAGAACTTTATGTGTAGAGCTCAGTTTTTTTTACAAGCTGAACATATATCTCTTAATGCTCTATAATATTTTCAATATATAAATATAAATATATGTATGTATTTTGTGTGTATGTTTATGCATACAAAAACTAGGGAGTGTAAAATTTATTTAGGACAGAAACAGAATTATTTAAAGGAGGTTTAAAGAGCCATGGTGTGTTGTGTTGTGTTATATTTTACTTAATGATAGAAGACACTTGAGCAAATTTAACTGCTAGTGACAGAATGGCTATTTTCTTAAGGAGTGAAAGAGTTTCAGATGAGAAAATCAATACAAATAATTAGCTAACTGCAAATATTCATGGGTTATTCCAGGAAAACAAACTACTCTAAATATATAACGCAGGGATGGAGTTTTAATGGGCATACTTTATTTTGTAGAGCGGTTTTCAAGTTTACAGAAAACTTCGGTGGTAAGTACAAAGAATTCTCATATATCCTCTCATCGGTTCACACACTGTTTCTTGTATGATTAACATCGTACATTAATGTGGTATACTTGTTAAAATTGATGAGCTAATATTGATTCATTTTTATTAACTAAAGTCAACAGTTTATATTAGGGTTTAATCTTTCTGTTATATATCCTATGGGTTTTCAAAAATGAATGACATGTATACACTATGACAGCATCATACAGAACAGTTTCACCATACTAAAGAAAAATCCACTGTGCTCCCCTTATTCCCCTATCCCCCAGAACCCCCTTTTTTTTAACTGTCTCCATAATTTTGCCTTTTCCAGAATGTTATATACTTAGAATCCTACAGCATGTAACCTTTTCAAATAGGCTACTTTCACTTAGCACTATGCATTTAGGTTCCTGCATGTCTTTTCATAGCTTAATAACACACTTTTTAATCACTAAACTATTTCATTGTATGCTTGTGGGACACTTAATTCTCATTGGTTTCTGCTAAGTTTTGACAATTAAGAATAAAGCTGCTTTGAACATTTGTATTCAAGTTTTTGTGTGGACATCAGTTTTCAACCCATTTGGCTAAAAACCAAGGAGAGCAACTGCTGAATCATGTGAAAAGAGTATTTTCAATTTTGTAAGATGTTGACAAACTGTCTTCCAACGAGGCTGTACCATTTTTGCACTCCCATCATTACTGAATGAGAGGTTCTATTGCCCCACATCCTCTCCAGTATGTGGTCTTGTCAGTGTTTTGGATTTTATCCACTCTAATACATGTGTAGTGATATCTGATTGTTTTAATTTGCAGTTCCCTAATGATCCATGATATTAAGTATATTTTCATCTTTGTGTTTGTTTGTAGAGAATTGATATCGTTCCTTCCTAAAGATTTGACAGCATTCACCAGTGAGCTCATTTGGGACTGTTGTTTATTCTTTTGGAAGGTTATCAATCATTGATTCAATTTCTTTAATAGATATAGGCCTATTAAGATGATCTCTGTCTCCTTGTGTGAGTTTTGTTGGATTGTGTCTTTCAAGGAATTGGTCTATCTCATCTAGGTTACCAAATTGGTGGGCCTAGAATTGTTCATAATATTCCTTTACTATAAGTTTAATGTCAATAGAATAATCAGTGATGGCCTTTCTTTCATTTTTGACATTAGCAATTTGTGTCTTCTATCTTCTTAGTTAATGTAACTGGAGGTTTATTAATTTCATGAATCTTATCAAATGAAGATTTGATGACTGATGACTGCCTTTTAGTTTTG